AATTTCTCTCACTGTGTGTATACGAGTCACGTTAAACGGATACTGAGAGTATGTAATCAATTACAAAGTCGTTTAATGCCCATCTATTTTTAGATTATCTGTATCTGATAAGGTATAGCACAACTAATAGGCAATAAACCGATATAACAGACAGTGGTGACCAAAATAATATCGTAATGAGAGAATCTCTCACCACGCGACCAACGACGGGTTATATTATTATATGATACCTACACTATATACCTTTTGTCATAATATCATATATTGTTATTATTATTATCAATAGMATTACTTATATAACATTATTATAATTTTTTTTCAATATGTATACCTACAAATACAATTATTTACTGTTATATTATTTCAATTATTCTTGTAAGTTCAATGTTGTAATATAAATTTTAAAGAGAGTTAATAGATTTTAGAACGAGGATACTTAACTTTTGTCCCTCTTCCTAGTTTCGTTGAGACTGTAAAAATAATTTAAAGTAGCATTTGCAACCTTCGACCAACTATTATATTGTTGAATCTTGTTGTGATATTCTTTTGATTCTAAATGTAATATTTAGGTAACACATCATTTTAATTTAATTATTGTGTTATAGACAAATATTTTGAATAATTTATCAAGAAACTTAGAAGCTATTTTATAAAAATTTAACTAAAATACTGAAAACTATACAAAAACAAAATAATTGACTGAAAATGAAAATAAATGTGTAAAATAAGTATATACACTTTCTAAGCGCATTTAACGGGATATTGGAAGAACTCCACAATGCATCCAGCAACGCGGTCAAATGGATCAGGACACTTGACAACCAACTTTAGACTACCTAACTAAATGACCACATGGAAAAGTTACCCATAGCATTAATTTTAATGTTTAATATTGTTTTATTGTTTGTGAATTACTTATATTTATATATATATATGTATCTTGTTTGTACTGCTTGCATATTATACCATACGATAATAATAATCGACAAGATAGCTGAGTATTGAATTATCAGTGAGCAGAATATTCAATCAATGGAATGACCTAAAAKGTCATTTTTGGTTAGTTGAATCAAACGTACATTGTTATAAAGCAAAAACCCTTTATAATATGTTTAAAGACAAAAATAATTTTTATATTTTACATTTTTGAAGCCTATACTAGTTGAGGCACAGCATATTAATCAAATGTTCCAATCAAATTCTGCTGACCGMATAAAATTGTTAAACAGCCTTATTTATTTGATTGCAAGTTTGGCCAAAAAAGTTGTTACTCCAGCATATAGAGAAGATTTTTTGACGGTAAATATTCAATTTTTTTTACATCCTAATCCTTACTTAGGTTATGATTTTGAGGAACAAGTAAAAAAATTAAACCAAGTCCAGAAACAGAAAAAGTTGTTAGAAGTGTTTGTATCAATTTTATTGTGGAACTGGTATTTCAACTTCAACAACGTTTGCCAAGCAATATTACCATATTAAAATAGTCATTTATTGCACCAGATACATGTTCAAAGACAGTTAAACCTTCCATAATTCTATTAGTAAAAAGTAAGCATTATCCCGAGGAAAATCTAGGAAAATTAGATTCATAATGGAATAATTTGTTTTTAATTAAATGTACCGCAATTACCACGATTGCTGAAATTAATTTATATACAGATGATAGTGGTCTAAATCAATTCAAAGAACTTGTTAGCTTTAYTAAATGTATATTGGTTTTACCTTGGTCAAATGCTGGAATAGAACGCTGGTTTAGCCAAATGAACATTATTAAAAATTCTCATAGGAATTGTATGTCAACATGCATGGCTAATGCTATACTGACAGTTAAAGCAAGATTGAAGCGAAAAGGAGAATGTTGCGATACGTACAACCTACCTAAGCATATTCTGAAACAAATAGGTAATATATTATTGTTATTATTTTTTTTCGTTCTTCAATTCTAATATAAATAAAATTATTTACAAATTTAGGTACCATAACCGTATATCAAAAAGGGGAAAGCACTG